AATATAGATATATAATATTTAATATGTATATATATATATATCTATATATATATATATATATATATATATTTTTTTTTTTTTTTTTTTTTTTTTTTTTTTTTTTTTTTTTTTTTTTTTTTTTTTTTTTTAACAAGTGGGGCCTCTCCCACCGAGGCGGGTGCCCCAAAAAAGAAAAAAAACCCAAAAAAAAAATATTTTATCATCATTCAAACTTTCCCCAACTCGCCATTATCATGTTTTTGCAGAGGTGCTCGAATAAACAGTCTAGAAGATAAACATATAAAGATCCAAAAATATCCCTCCAAACGCCAATACCCCAAAAAACCCCTCCTTTAAAGTGCGGCATGTATTTCCCTTTTCCAGGACTCAAGCCCGACTATAGAAAAAAACCCCGGTTTCCCCTGAACCCCTTTTCACTAAATTTTCCCTGCTCACCTCCAACAGTGTCGGGTCCCAAGTACCATTCGTCTCCATTCACTCCTATCTCCGCCACGCACTCTTGCGGGGAGTCCAAGCCCCTTTCCCACAAAACCCCCTTTACCCCTCCTCCAACCCTTTTTGAGGACGACCCCCACCCCGCCTTTCCCTTCCCCCATAGATTTATATGCTTTCCCTGTCATTCTATGGATCCATTCCCTTTAAAAGACCAAACCCCTCAACAACCCCTCTTTCCCCTGCTAATACTTTTTTTTAACTCCACACCTTTTCCCCAATTTCCACACTCCGAATTTCTGCATAATATTTTCACCCCCAGCCCCTTAAAAAGGACATCTCCGCTCCCCCAACCTCTCCTCGTGCGCATTTTCCACCCAAGCTTCCCCCAACCCATATAAAGTTTGGGACACTATCTTTATACTTTTCCCCTTTTTTGCCTTAGATAACGTTTTTTTTACTCCCCCTATACCTCAACGCACCATCCCCCCTTTTTTTCCCTCATCAAATTTTATGATTAACCTCATTTATTATAATTTAATCCCTATTAAAACATTATTTTTATTTTTAATTTTATATAATTTTTTTTATTAAAAATTTTTTAATTTTTCCCTTATTTTTTTTTTTATTTTAATTTTCTACCCTTTAAAAATTCCCCAAATATAATTTTATTTTTTTTAATTCCCGCAAGTAACCAAAAATAACTGGAACCCCATTTTGAATTTACCCCTAATTTAACCCCACCCCTCTCCCAAACACCCTAGCATTACTCCTTTACAACCCCATCTATAAATATATTAAACAACCATGGTGACATTACACATCCTGTCTAAGACCTACTTTTACGGGAAGTAGTCTCCTCTCTTCTACACACCCTAACCTGAGCCTCACTATCCTCATAAAAACTCTTTACAGCATTTAATAACTTACCACCTATTCCATATACTTGCAACATCTGCCACATTGCTCCTCTATCCACTCTATCATATGCCTTTTCTAATCCATAAATGCAATAAAAACTTCCCTATCTTTATCTAATACTGTTCACATATATGCTTCAATGTAAACACCTGATCTACACATCCCTACCCACTCTAAAACCTCCTTGCTCATCCGCAATCCTACATTCTGTCTTACCTCTAATTCTTTCAATTATAACCCTACCGTACACTTTTCCTGGTATACTCAGTAAGCTTATTCCTCTATAATTTTTACAGTCTCTTTTGTCCCCTTTCCCTTTATATAAAGGGACTATACATGCTCTCTGCCAATCCCTAGGTACCTTCCCCTCTTTCATACATTTATTAAACAAAAGTACCAACCACTCCAACACTATATCCCCCCCTGCTTTTAACATTTCTGTCATGATCCCATCAGTTCCAGCTGCTTTACCCCCTTTCATTTTACGTAATGCTCACGTATCTCCCCCACACTTAATTCTGCTCTTCTTCACTCCTAAAAGATGGTATACCTCCCTGACCAGTGCATGAAATTACTGCCTCTGTTTCTTCCTTAACATTTTAAAAGTTCCTCAAAATATTCTTCGCCATCTACCCAATACCTCCATCTCCCCATCTACTAACTCCCCTACTCTGTTTTTAACTGACAAATCCATATTTTCCTAGGCTTTCTTAACTTGTTTAACTCACTCCAAAATTTTTTCTTATTTTCATTAAAATTTTCTTGACAGTGCCTCTCCCACTCTATCATCTGCTCTCCTTTTGCACTCTCTCACCACTCTCTTTACCTTTCTTTTACTCTCCATATACTGCTCTTCTTATAACACTTCTGCTTTGTAAAAACCTCTCATAAGCTACCTTTTTCTCTTTTATCACACCCTTTACTTCATCATTCCACCAATCACTCCTCTTTCCTCCTGCCCCACCCTCCTATAACCACAAACTTCTGCCCCACATTCTAATACTGCATTTTTAAAAACTATTCCAACCCTCTTCAACCCCCCACTACTCATCTTTGCACTAGCCCACCTTTCTGCCAATAGTCGCTTATATCTCACCCGAACTTCTCTCTCCCTTAGTTTATACACTTTCACCTCCCTCTTACTTGTTGTTGCCACCTTCCTCTTTTCCATCTACCTCTTACTCTAACTGTAGCTACAACTAAATAATGATCCGATATATCAGTTGCCCCTCTATAAACATGTACATCCTGGAGCCTACCCATCAACCTTTTATCCACCAATACATAATCTAATAAACTACTTTCATTACGTGCTACATCATACCTTGTATATTTATTTATCCTCTTTTTCATAAAATATGTATTACTTATTACCAAATTTCTTTCTACACATAGCTCAATTAAAGGCTCCCCATTTACATTTACCCCTGGCACCCCAAATTTACCTACTACTCCCTCCATAACTTTTTACCCACTTTAGCATTAAAATCCCCAACCACCATTACTCTCACACTGATTCAAAACTCCCACGCATTCACTCAACATTCCCAAAATCTCTCTCTCTCCTCTACACTTCTTCTTCTCCAGGTGCATACACGCTTATTATAACCCACTTTTCACATCCAATCTTTATTTTACTCCACATAATCCTTGAATTAATACATTTATAGTCCCTCTTTTCCTGCATAGCTTATCCTTCAACATTATTGCTACTCCTTCTTTAGCTCTAACTCTATTTGAAACCCTGACCTAATCCCATTTATTCCTCTCCACTGAAACTCTCCCACCCCCTTCAGCTTTGTTTCACTTAAAGCCAGGACATCCAGCTTCTCTCATTCATAACATCCACAATCATCTCTTTCTTATCATCTGCACAACATCCACGCACATTCAGACTTCCACTTTGACAATTTCTTCTTCTTATTCTTTTTAGTAATCTTTACAGGAAAAGGGGTTACTAGCCCATTGTTTCCCGGCATTCTAGTTGACTTTTACAACACGCATGGCTTACGGAGGAAAGATTCTTATTCCACTTCCCCATGGATATAAAAGGAAAATTAATAAGACCAAGAACTATTAAGATAAAATCAAAGAAAACTCAGATGAGTGTGTTATAAATAATGTGTACATGTATTGTGTAGTGTGACCTAAGTGTAAGTAGAAGTAGCAAGACATGCCTGTAATCTTGCATATTTATGAGACAGACAAAAGACATCAGCAATCCTACCATCATGTAAAACAATCACAGGCTTCGTTTTACACTCACTTGGCAGGACGGTAGTACCTCCCTGGGTGGTTGCTGTCTACCAACCTACTACCTGTAATATATATATATATACATTATATATATATATATATATATATATTATATATTTATATTATATATAATATATTATATATATATATAATATATATATTATTTATATAATATATATATATATATATATATTTATATATATATATAAATATATACATATATATATATATATATAATAAATATATATATATATACATAGCGCTGTATCCTCCTCTTTTAGATTTGGAAATGGCCACCCTAGGGATAGTCACTGACTGTGTTGGGCTAGTCATTCAGTGTGGCGTAGGGCTAGTCTGTGACTGTGTTATTGGGTTAGTCAATGACTGGTGTTCGGCTAGTTATAGACTGTTGTATTGGGTTACTCGTTGACTGTGGTATTCAGTGTGGTGTAGGGCTAGTCTGTGACTGTTGTGTTGGGCTAGTCATTGACTGTTGTGTTGGGCTAGTTACTGACTGTAGTGTTTGGTTAGTCATTGACTGTTGTGTTGGGCTAGTCATTGACTGTAGTGTTGGGCTAGTCATTGACTGTAGTGTTGGGCTAGTCATTGACTGTAGTGTTGGGCTAGTTACTGACTGTAGTGTTTGGTTAGTCATTGACTGTGGTGTTGGGCTAGTCATTGACTGTTGTGTTGGGCTAGTCATTGACTGTGGTGTTGGGCTAGTCATTGACCGTGGTGTTGGGCTAGTCATTGACTGTGGTGTTGGGCTATTCATTGACTGTGGTGTTGGGCTAGTCATTGACTGTGGTGTTAGGCTAGTTGTTGACTGTGGTGGAGGGCTAGTCATTGACTGTGGTGGAGGGCTAGTCATTGACTGTGGTGTTGGGCTAGTCATTGACTGTGATGTGGAGCTAGTCATTGACTGTGGTGTTGGGCTAGTTGTTGACCGTGGTGGAGGGCTAGTCATTGACTGTGGTGTTGGGCTAGTCATTGACTGTGGTGGAGGGCTAGCCATTGTGGTATTGATTAAGACCTGCGCCTGACGAACCAATCAGTCAAAAAAGAAATCAGTGAGAAGAGTGAATGTTCTAAGTCGGAGGGAAACCTGCACATAGGATACTATGTACGTGTTATTTGTGTAATGAGGTAGCAATTTGCTGTGGTAATGGGGGGTAATCATTAGCTCCAGTAACGTTGCAACCATTGACTTCGGTAATGGGGTAGTCACTAACAACGATCATAAGGTTGTCATTGGTAATGGGGTAGTCATTGATTGCGGTAATGAAGAATTCATTACCCGCAGTAATGGGTGGGTAGTAATTGACTGCGGTAATGAGGTAATCATTGATTGTGACAGTGGGATATTATTGGCTGCGGTAACGGGATAGTCAATGGCTGCGGTAATGGGATAGTCATTAATAACTGCCTGTTGGATTATGTTTCAGTGCATAATTACCTTTTTTATTTACATTTTGTTTAAAGTGGTTACATAGCAGAATATTTCCAAGGCATAAATCCAAAAATATTTGTTCGTCACTAGTATAGGCAAATTAATTTTGAGAAAGCTCTTAAATCTATTGTACTTCCAAAGTACTTTCATAAATGTCAAATATAGACAGAGAAGTATGTTTAACACATGTGTACTGAGTGCAATCATGTGAGAGTAATGTGTTTCAGGTGTTGGTGTGGTACACACGAGAGGACGGAGAGGTGGTAGCAGACACCAGAGAGTTGGAGGTAGAGAAGTGTCTGCCTAACAAGGTGGACCTCACCTGGTCTGTTGCTAAAGCACAACCAGGAGCTGCAGCCTCACTGACTCTGTCATCAGAGCCACACTCTGTGTGTAGCCTGGGTGAGTGATGTAGCCTGGGTGAGTGATGTAGCCTGGGTGAGTGATGTAGCCTGGGTGAGTGATGTAGCCTGGGTGAGTGATGTAGCCTGGGTGAGTGATGTAGCCTGGGTGAGTGATGTAGCCTGGGTGAGTGATGTAGCCTGGGTGAGTGATGTAGCCTGGGTGAGTGATAGCCTGGGTGAGTGATGTAGCCTGAGCGAGTGATGTAGCCTGGGCGACTGATGTAGACTGGGTGAGTGATGTAGCCTGGGTGAGTGATGTAAACTGGGTGAGTAATGTAGCCTGGGTGAGTGATGTAGCCTGGGTGAGTGAGGTAGCCTGGGTGAATGATGTAGCCTGGATGAGTGAGGTAGCCTGGGTGAGCGATGTATCCTGGGTGAGTGATGTAGCCTGGGTGAGTGATGTAGCCTGGGTGAGTGATGTAGCCTGGGTGAGTGATGTAGCCTGGGTGAGTGAGGTAGCCTTGGTGAGTGATGTAGCCTAGGTGAGTAATGTAGCCTGAGAGGCGTAGCCAGGGTGAATGATGTAGCCTAGGGGAAGTGATGTAGCCTGGGCGGCTGATGTAGACTGGATGAGTGATGTAGCCTGGGTGAATGACGTAGCATGGGTGAGTGATGTAGCCTGAGTGAGTGACGTAGCCAGGGTGAGTAATGTAACCTGGGAGAGTGATGTAGCCTGGGTGAGTGATGTAGCCTGAGTTAGTGATGTAGCCTGGGTGAGTGATGTAGCCTGAGAGACGTAGCCTGGGCGACTGATGTAGACTGGGTGAGTGATGTAGTCTGGGTGAGTGATGTAGCCTGGGTGAGTGATGTAGCCTAGGCGAGTGATGTAGCCTGGGTAAGTGATGTACCCTGGGTGAATAATGTAGCCTCGGTGAGTGGTGTAGCTGGGTGAGTGATGTAGCCTGAGTGAGTGACGTAGCCTGGGTAAGTGATGTAGCCTGGGTGAGTGATGTAGCCTGGGTGAATGATGTAGCCTGAGTGAGTGACGTAGCCTGCGTGAGTGATGTAGCCTGGATGAGTAAAGTAACCTGGGTGAGTGACGTAGCCTGGGTGTGTGATGTAGCCTAGGTGAGTGATGTAGCGTGGATGAGTGACGTAGCCTGGGTGAGTGATGTAGCCTTGAGGAGTGATGTAGCCTGGGTGAGTGATGTAGCCTGGGTGAGAGACGTAGCCTGGGTGAGCGATGTTACCTGGGTGAGTGATGTAGCCTGGTTGAGTGATGTAACCTGGGTGAGTGACGTAGCCTGGGTGAGTGATGTAGCCTGGGTTAGTGAGGTAGCCTGGGTGAGTGAGGTAGCCTGGGTGAGTGATGTAGCCTGGGTGAATGAGAAAGCCTTGGTGAGTGACGTAGCCTGTGTGAGTGATGCATCCTGGGTGAGTGATGTACCCTGGGTGAGTGATGTAGCCAGAGTGAGTGATGTAGCCTGGGTGAGTGACGTAGCCATGGTAAGTAATGTTGCCTGGGTGAGTGATGTAGCCTGGGTGAGTGATGTAGCCTGGGTGAGTGATGTAGCCTGGGTGAGTTACGTAGCCTGGGTGAGTGATGTAGCCAGAGTGAGTGATGTAGCCAGGGTGAGTGACGTAGCCTGGGTGAGTGATGTAGCCTGGGTGAGTGATGTAGCCTGGGTGAGTGATGTAGCCGGGTGAGTGACGTAGCCTGGGTGAGTGATGTAGCCTGGGTGAGTGATGTAGCCGGGTGAGTGACGTAGCCTGGGTGAGTGATGTAGCCTGGGTGAGTGATCTAGCTTGGATGAGTGATGTAGCCTGGGTGAGTGATGTAGCCTGGGTGAGTGATGTAGCCGGGTGAGTGACGTAGCCTGGGTGAGTGATGTAGCCTGGGTGAGTGATGTAGCCGGGTGAGTGATGTAGCCTGGGTGAGTGATGTAGCCTGGGTGAGTGATGTAGCCTGGGTGAGTGATGTAGCCTGGGTGAGTGATCTAGCTTGGATGAGTGATGTTGCCGGGTATGTAACACGTACTCATAATAACTATGAACTGTTAGACAATATATAAAGTGAAGTAAATAATGATTTACTACGTCTATGTATTTTTGAGTCTGGAAATTGCAACATTTTTTATGGAAAGTTAAAATGAACAGTTTTTGTTACTGATTGATATCTATTATATAAAAAGGACTACTTAATTGAAATATGTATTTTTTTTAAAACTCAGGAGTGGTAGACAGAAGCACGGAGCTGCTGGCTGATAACCCAGATCCTATATCACTTGAAAAATTATTTAATATCGCTGATAGTTTTAACATTGGACGGTGGCTGAACTCTCAGATCAACGTCTATCAGTACTGCTTCAATAAGAAATTGAGTGAACCTGAAGAAAAACCAGGTTAGTTCTTTTTTCATGTATTCAACTTTTTTTTCGTCTCATTTACTGTAAATGTATGGAAAATATAAATTACTTTTAAACAAATATCAAGACTAGAAAGCCGGTCTTATAGTTACAGATGTGGTAATACTTATGAGAATGAATTATCGACGGGTTTAAATTCACAATTTGTAATAACTTCAACTTACCAACTTAAATTTATTAACTATTTTGATACTTAAAAATCACTATGATAATCAGTATTCAGGATTATTTCTCTAGCTACTTGGCTTTTCATGGTAGGTTCTTCAAGCTCGTTAGGTCCTTCATTGGATCACTTTTAATGCTGGGTCATTCAAGCTTATTAAATCCTTCCTTGGATCACTTTTAATGCTGGGTCATTCAAGCTTGTTAGGTTCTTAGTTGGATCACTTTTCATGTTGGGTCCTTCAAGCTCGTTATGTCCTTCCTTGGATCGCTTATAATGCTGGGTCCTTCAAGCTTGTTAGGTCATTCCTTGGATCACTTTTCAGTGCTGGGCCCTTCAAGTTTGTTGGGTCCTTCTTTGGATCGCTTACCATGTTAGGTCCTTCCTTGGATCACTTTCAATGCTGGGTCCGTCAAATTTGTTAGGTCAATCCTGGGATCACTTTTCACGCTGGGTCTTTCAAGCTTGTTATGTCCTTCCTTGGATCACTTTTCATGCTGGGTCCTTCAAGCTTGTTAGGTCCTTAATTGCATCACTTTTCATGATGGGTCCTTCAAGCTTCTTAGGTCCTTACTTGCATCACTATTCATGCTGGGTCCTTCAAGCTTCTTAGGTCCTTCCTTGGATCACTTTTCATGCTCGGTTCATCAAATTTGTTAGGTCAATCCTTGGATCACTTTTCACGTTGGTTCTTTCAAGCTTGTTATGTCCTTCTTTGGATCACTTTTCATGCTGGGTCCTTCAAGCTTGTTAGGTCCTTCCATGGATCACTTTTCATGCAGGGGCTTTAAGCTTGTTTAGGTCCTTCCGTGGATAACTTTTCATGCTATGTCATTCAAGCTTGTTAGGTACTTCTTTGGACCACTTTTAATGCTGGGTCCTTTAAGCTTCTTAGGTTCTACCTTGGATCACATTTCATTCTGGGTCCTTCAAGCTTGTTAGGTCCTTCCTTGGATCATTTCTCGTTCTGGGTCCTTCATGCTTGTTACGTCCTTCATTCTATCACTTTTCATGCTGGGATCCTTCAAGATTGTAAGGTCCTTCAATGAATCACTTTTCATGCTGGGATCTTTCAAGCTTGTTAGGTTTTTCGTTGGATCACATTTCACGCTGGGATCCTTCGAGCTTGTTAGGTCCTTCCTTGGATCACTTTTCAATGCTGGGTCCTTCAAGTTTGTTAGGTCCTTGCTTGGGTCACTTTTCATGTTGTGTCCTTTAAGCTTGTTAGGTTCTTCCTTGGATCACTTTTCATGCTGGGTCCTTCAAGCTTGTTAGGTCATTCCTTGGATCACTTTTCATGCTGGGTCCTTCAAGCTTGTTAGGTCCTTCCTTAGATCACTTTTCATGATGGGTCCTTCAAACGTCTTAGTTCCTTCCATGCATCACTTTTCACGATGGGTCCTTCAAGCTTCTTAGGTCCTTCCTTGGATCACTTTTCATGCTGGGTCCGTCAAATTTGCTAGGTGAGTCCTTGGATCACTTTTCACGCTTGGTCCTTCATGCTTGTTATATCCTTCCTTGGATTACTTTTCTTGCTGGGTCCTTCAAGATTGTTAGGTCCTTCCTGGAATCACTTTTAATGCTGGGCCTTTAAACTTGTTTAGGTCCTTCCTTGGATCACTTTTCATGCTGGGTCATTCAAGCCTGTTAGGTACTTCTTTGGATCACTTTTCTTGCTGAGTCCTTTAAGCTTGTTAGGTCATTCCTTGGTTCACTTTTCATACTGGGTCCTTCAAGCTTGTTAGGTCCTTCCTTGGATCACTTTTCATGCTGGGTCCTTCAAGCTTGTTAGGTCCTTCCTTCTCGCTCTGGGTCCTCTATGCTTGTTACGTACTTCTTCCTATCACTTTTCATGATGGGATCCTTCAAGCTTGATAGGTCCTTCCTTGAATCACTTTTCATGCGGGTATCTTTCAAGCTTGTTAGGTCTTTCGTTCGATCACTTTTCATGATGGGATCCTTCAAGCTTGTTATGTCCTTCCTTGGATCACTTTTCATGCTGGGTCTCTCAAGCTTGTTAGGTCTTTCTTTGGATCACTTTTCATGCTGGGTCCTTAAGCTTGTCAGGTCCTTCCTTGGATCACTTTTCATGATGTGTCCTTCAAGCTTGTTAGGTCTTTCTTTGGATCACTTTTCATGCTGGGTCCTTCAAGCTTGTTACGTCCTTCCTTGAATCACTTTTCATGCTGTGTCTTTCAAGCCCGTTAGGTCCTTCCTTGGATCACTGTTCATGCTTGGTCCTTCAAGCTTCTTAGTTACTTCCTTGGATCACTGTTGACGTGTACTTGGCTCTGTGAAGACCTGTTTGCGCGCTCTCTAGAATTGAAGCAAGATGCCCTCCATCGAGCAACTTTACCAACAGCTTAAGGAAGAATTGAGGTTGGCGAATATGGAAATTCGGCGACTGACCTAGGAAAACAAAAAGATTCGGAGTAGTCCTCCTGTTTTGAGTCCTCAGGTCAAGAAGGGAAACTGGTTAGTGGCTGGACAGCAAGGAAAGAAGTTGACGATCAAGAAGACGAATGGTAAGGTAGAAACGATGAAGAAGAAAGAGACTGCCGTGGAAACTGTTGTGGAAACATCCAATACATTCTCAGTGCTACCCGACGAATGTGAGTCGACTACTGGGAACGTCACGACGAAAGACATTAAGGAAGGTACGAATATTGTTGTTGTTGGGGATAGCCAAGTTAGGTATATGGATAGGGCGTTCTGCTTGAAGGACAGGAGTAGGAGACAGAGAGTTTGCTTTCCTGGGGCTGGGATGGAGGATATTGTTAGCCGTCTGGATGACATCATGAGAGGTAAGGGGAAAGCAATCCTATTATCTGTCTCAGTGCTGGAGGCAACGATGTTGGCAGACGTAGGAGTGAGGACCTGATTAGCAGGTATAGGTCATTAATAGAAATAATTAGAAGTAAGGGTGGAATCCTTCATATGTGGTATTTTGCCAAGGAGGGGAGTTGGAAATGAATGGTTGTCCAGGGCAATTGGTGTCAATTGCTGGCTGGACAAATACTGTAAGGAAAATGCGGTAACATTCATTGACAACTGGGACCTCTCTATGGCAGAAATGACATGTATGCTAGGGATGGGGTTCACTTATCTAGGTGTGGGGTGGGAGCACTGGCAACTGCAGTGGGAGGGAGCAGTTAGGACTTTAAACTAGGAATAGTTAGTGGTATGGGTTTTGGCAGGAAAACAGTGAAGTCCCAGTGTAGTAATATTACGAGTTCTAGGGGAACTAGTAATAATAAGAACGAGATAGATATTGAAAAGCCAGGGACCTTGGGTGATAAGGACAGTAATAGGTTTAGTAGAAAAAATAGAAATGAGCAGGAAGGGTAAAAAGAAAGGAGAGTCTTTCAATGTTTATTATGCTAATTGTCGTAGTGCTAGGAATAAGATGGACGAGTTGAGATTAGTTGATAGTGTAGGTAACATTGATGTATTTGCCTTAACTGAGACGTGGTTTAATTCAAAAAGTCGGGACATCCCTGCGGAATGTCATATTCAGGGTTTTAAATTGTTCCAAGAAGATAGAAGTATTGGGAGGGGGGGTGGGGTGGCATTGTATGTCGAGATCGCTTGAACTGTTGCATAAAAACGGGTATTAAGTTGAAGTAACACATACAGAGTCTGGATAGAATTTTCAGAGGGGCATGAAAAACTGATTTTAGGAGTGATATACCGTCCCCCAAACTTAGATAGGGACCAAGGGAAACTACTATGGGAGGAAATTTTTAAAGGGGCCAAAAGGCACGATAATGTAGTAATTCTAGGAGACTTTAACTTTAGTCATGTTGATTGGAATTTCTTGACTGGGAATTTAGAATCATACGACTTCTTAGAAGTATTTCAGGATTGTTTTTTGAAGCAGTTTGTGACAGAACCTACAAGGGGAAATAACCTGCTTGACTTAGTTATGGCAAACAATGAATCCCTAGTTAATAATTTAGAAATTTCAGAGGAACTGGGTGCTAGCGACCACAAATCAATTACATTTAGCATTGAATGGAATTACGATAGTAGCGATAACTCAGTAACAGTCCCAGATTTTCGCTTAGCAGATTACGATGGGCTTAGAGAACACTTATCATCTGTTGACTGGGGTAACGAAGAGAGCTATCAATATGACAGTTTTCTGAACACTATACATGTGCTCAAAGAGCGTTTATCCCATATTAAAGAAATTAGATCAAATAGAAATGACCCAAAATGGATGAATAATAGGCTTAAATATCTACTAGGGCATAAGAAAGGAATTTATAGGCGTATCAAAAGAGGTGAGGGTCATCTTATGAATCAGTATATTGACATTAAGAGGGACATTAAAAAGGGGATAAGAAAAGCTAAAGGGACTATGAAATTGAAGTTGCTAGGGATTCTAAAAACTAACCAAAAAGTTTTTTCCAGGTCTATAGAACAAAAGTTAGAGATAAGATAGGTCCCCTTAAAAATAACTATGGGCACCTTACTGACAAAGAGAATGAAATGTGCTTGATTTTAAAATAATTATTTTCTCTCACTTTTTTCACAGGAAGACACTAACAATATTCCAGTAATTAATTTTTACAGTGGGCTAGAAGAAGATAAATTATGTAACATCACAGTCATAGTGAGATGGTTGTGAAGCAGATAGACAGACTGAAGCAAAATAAGTCGCCGGGTCCTGATGAGGTTTTTTTCAAGGGTTCTTAAGGAATGCAAAATGGAACTCTTGTGAACCATTAACTAATATTTTAATTTTATCTCTTCAAACAGGTGTAGTGTCTGATATGTGGTAGATGGCTAACGTAACTCCTATTTTTAAAACAG